CAGAGCACTGGGAGGGGTTGCTGTTTCATATGGGGTTACAGGAGGTGGTGGTGCAGTAGGTGGTTTAAGTGCGGGCGGTAAACCGAGCGGGCGGCAGCAGCGGTGCAGCACATGTGGGGATGGAGCTACGTTTGATGACACCAAGTTGTTTCGTGGGCATATGAAGTCGGACTGGCACAAGCATAATATGAGGCGCAAGGTGAGGGGCATGCCTCCTGTGTCTGCGGATGAATGGGAGGCAGATACGAGCCTATTCGCAGACGAAGCACATGATTTGCACGAGTATGAGAAGTAGATGCCAGTGCTGATAGGGGTTGCTTGCAAGTTCTGGTAGCTTTGTTAAGTTTTATGAAGCTAAAACTTATAGGCTTAAGCATTCTGGAAAAAGTGTGCGCTTCACGGTGGTGGTTCTTGAATGTTCAGCAGCTTGTTGTCACTGCATATGGAGCCGTATTTGAGTGACTTGGCCAGACATTTCATCCAGCTGCAAATTGTTTGGTAGTGACTCTTAGTTTGGACTTTTCTGAGACATGGTACAGCATTTTCGGACCACGCGGACCGCCTTACAGGTAAGCGGCGGATTTGCCAATGGCACCTTTGTTGGGGTCGGTCCGGTGGTGTGTGCTGCTTGGGTTGGGTTGGGTACGTGTGGGTTTCCTTGCCCGCTTCCTCTCGCTTGTAATCGAAACTGTATTACAGAGGGTGGAGGCTGGTAAAGGGAGGTTTGGATGGAATTCAGAGGGATATAATTCAGGCTTGAGCGAAGGTGAGAGGCGGCAGGTGCACGACAATACATTTCACTAGGTAGCGTCGTTTTGCTCCCGGTAGCGGCCTCGGTAGCGCTACCGGGCTCCGAGCTCCCTGCACGCCAGACCCCGCGTGCTGCACTGAAGGCGAGAGGCGGCAGGTGCACGACAGAAAAAGAAGGGCGCGCGGTTGAGTTGAGCTGGTTGCTACAGTGATTTTCTTCCTCAGCGTCCCTCCCACAATCGAATCCAAAGCTGGCTGGAAATCCATAAAAACAGTGGAGTCGGTGAATGGAAGGCATGTTTTTGCGGAACCAGAGCCAGAAGTTTCCACATGCACAGTACACCACTTATGACAGAATCTCAATATTATGAATACTATTCGCTGAAATTTATAATGTACAGCTCGTAACCCGCGTTTTATTTACGTCATAACGCGGTTTCCTGCCCTGGCCATAAATCCCCGTCGTCCTTGACTCGTGCGCCTCCTCCTGGGTTATTATACGAATGGTCACTAAACAGAACGCGCTATCACGAATGGTCATGGGGTTATCAAGAACGGTCAATGAAACAGGCGATTCTATCACGGATGGTCACTGGTTATCACGGATGGTCACTCGTCGCCCCACGAGGCTATCACGAATAGTCACAAAGAAACGCCCGCCCGAAAGTTGCACTGTGATAGTCTTTTGATAGTAACAGTGGTTGTGGCCGGTGACAACGACAGATAAAATGGTACGTTGAGAAACAATCCGGTGATAATTTAATAACTATCACATGAGCCCTATATGATGGGATAACAATATAACCCTCTTATTTATATATGTTGATATGCAGTTTGCATTCACAATATGATGGCAAAAATAACCAATAAAACTATCTATGGCAATACGTTGCACACTTATGAATCTAGGCTTCTCTCGTTTTTGTAAATCCATGGTACGCAGTTTAGGTAACCCGTTTTATATTATATGGGGTGTTTGAACTGCCTGTAACACAAGAATGTTACTCAGTTAGGCTTCTCCTAGGAATGTTGCGCTTTCCTACGGTTGGAACAGTGCAACTCGAAAAAGACAAACAGAATAAACGCGCTAACAGTCCCTCAATCGTAACAGTGAGAGGTCGTGAGGGGGAGAATTTCAACTTTCGGGCGGGCGTTTCTTTCAGTGACTATTTGTGATAGCCTCGTGGGGAGACGAGTGACCATCCGTGATAACCAGTGACCATCCGTGATAGAATCGACTGTTTCATTGACCGTTCTTGATAACCCCATGACCATTCGTGATAGCGCGTTCTGTTTAGTGACCATTCGTATAATAACCCCCTCCTCCTCCTCGCCCTCTCCCTTCCTTCCTTCCTTCCCTTGCACAGAAACTGGAAGACAGCAACTTGGACTCCAGACTTCCAATTCGTTCCGCTTGTGTTTGGATAGGCCAAGATTGTCTGTCTTGAGTTTACAACAGATACGAGTTACAGTTTCCATTTCTCTAAACCCTGATAATCACTACGTTTTTGTCCCCAGGAGATTACTCTGACAAACCATTGACAAAAAATGTTTCCCGTCCGTATAACTCTCTCCTTTTCCCTCAATGATTTCCTGGTTAGTGACCCGTTCCTTTTGGTAAAAGAACTGCGAATGTTGAAACAAACTGTCTGTCATAGTGGGTGTATGAGAACCACTTCATTGCCAGGTCACTTTTCAAATTCGTTGCTTACTGGTAGTTACTGCTGAACAAGGCCACTGTCCAGTCCACCACATGGGACATTTACAATTCTAGCCGCACTGGAGCTATCAGGATCGAAACACCTTTCTTCAAACCATCCTGCTCGCAGCAATAGCTGGAAGCAGGCTCACAAGTGAATGAGAGGTGACAGGTCTTGGCTTGGTACCTGATTAGGTCCATCGTCAGTAATACACCCACTCGTTGCACAGAATGTGAGAGTTACACTGGCAATTCTAGAAGTACCGGAAACCATGATATACGCATCCGACGGTGCTGGCACATCTGGAATGGCAGCAACGGAGAACCATTAGTATCGATTCGATGCAAAGGCGCAACTACTATGGAAGTGTCGCGCCGGAGTACTAACGACCCGACTTTGCGCGCACTAATCATGTTGCGACCATCGCGCGACGGACTCGTGCCGCGACAAGCCTCGGGGGGCGACGGGCTCGTGCGACGAGCCCAAGGAATGAACCTCGGCCCACGCGGGTCGCCCCGTAACGCCATAGACGTCATCCCGTCCGCTGATTGGTCGTCCCGCGAAAGCACGCCCCAATCCAGGCCGCCGGCCTCTGGCGCCGCCAGCGGCTCGCGCGGCAAATCTAACGACGCCGATTCGTTTCCAAATGCGTCTAGTCGCGTTTCTTGGGATGATGATAGTAGCAGCAACAATGCGGCCTTACAGTATCATCGTAGTAGCACCACGACTAATGCTAATAGTAAAGCGACAGGAACCTCTGCTCGCAGCGGCAGCGGCGCTATAATTGGCGCGTTCGGTTCGTTACTCCGCGGCGCCGTCGATACGACAGCTGCCTCCGCCTCCGCCGCCGCCGCCGCCTCCACCGCTGATAACTCGCCAGCGGGTTGGCTGCAGCCGATGACCGAGGCTGACGTGGCACTCTCAGGCGACAGCGGCGGCAACGGATATGACGATTTTTATGCTCATCAGAGCCCCAGGTTTGACGGAGAACTGATTCTGTCGCCCGTAGCGTCTTCCAGGGAAGACGACAGCAGCGTTATCATGGCTCTCCCCGCGCTGCCGCACCATGGCGGCGCGATGTCGCCGCACCGTGGCGGTGTTTATAGCGAGGCTGCGGTTATCGGGGACTATAATGGTACTGGTAGCGGCGGTTACCCTGGGGGCGGCCCCGTGTGGACTCCGAGCGACATGACGTCAGATTCCTCCGCGCTTCGGTGGCAGAGCTTCGCTACTAGCAATACTACTAGTCCTAGCAGTGCTCTAACGAGTACGCCGACAGTTGTGACCGTCAATCCCAGCAATGTCACGGGAGTTTCTACGGGCATTCGTACTAAAACTGTTGCCAGCAGCAGTCCTGGTAACGCTAGTATGGTTATCAGCTCCGCTGCTGCTGTCACCCGCGGGTCCAACGCGCAAAATGCGCAAACGCCGCGCGGATGGGCGCAGGAAGCTCCGCCGCTGGCGGCGGGCTGGGAAGAGGCGGGAGCCGCCCCTGCGCCGCCACTGGAGGAAGTCTACAGCGCGGCGCAAAAGACGCGGAGGGGGGAGAGGAAGGAAAAAAATAGCGCGGGAAGCAGCGCTAGCGGAAGCGGATTCGGAAGCGGAAGCGGAAGCGGAGGCGGAGGCGGAGGCGGTGGTGGTAGTGTGCGACGTTTGCGACATTCGCATAGTTACACGAGCGAGAGGAGTGCTGGTGCGAATCTTCCCGAGCTACAAACCCTGTCGCGGCTACAGTCGCTGTCGCGGTTACAATCGCTGTCGCGCCAGCAGCCGCAGCAGCAGCATGCGCTACAGCCGCTACAGTCGCTACAACAGCAGCGACAGTCTCTGCTACAGCCTCCGCCGCTACAGCCGCCGTCTCGTATGCAGTCGCTGCCGTCGCGCTGGTTTGGGAAGATAGACGAGAGCGGGGAGATGTTCGAGGAGTGGGATAGCGCGGAAGGGGAGGAGGCGGCGGAGGGGGAGGAAGGGGAGGAGGCGGAGGCGGAGCAGGGAGAGGGGAGCGGGGCGGTGGATGGAATGGATTTCTATAGAAGCAGGAGCGAACGGACGAATAGGGTAACCAGTGTTATCAAGGTCGCAAAAAGCAGTTCGGTGCAGGTTTCGGATAGGCAGGACGGGTGGAGTGGGGACGGGCAAGCCCGGGGGCGGCAGCAGCAGCCGCAGCAGCAGGGGCAGGGGCGGCGGCGGCGGCAGAAGCATGGGCAGGTTCGGTTCTCAGGGGCAGACCAGGAAGATTATAGCGGGTTGCGCCAAGACGAGGATGCTCATAACGGGTATAGCTTTGGTGGGAGCGCGAGAGGCTCGTCTGGGCGGTTTCACCGGTCGCGCAGCAGCGGGAGCCTGGCGGAAGCGGGGTCCGCGGAAGGGTATTGGGGGAGAAAGGGGAAGGGGAAAGGGGAGGGGGAGAGGGAGGGGGAGGAGGATGGGGAGGAGGAGGGGGCTGGGGAATTAATAAGGGAGATGAGGGTAGTGTGGAGAAGGCAGGCGGGTGGGCGCGAAAAGGGAGTGGAAGGTAAAGGAGGAGACGAAGAAAGAGCAACAAGCGAGATGGAGAGGGAAGAGGAAGCGCAGAGAGAGGAGGTGGGGGAGGAGGAGGAGGAGGAGGAGGAGGAGGAGGAGGAGGCGGAGGAGGAGGAGGAGGAGGAGGAGGAGGAGGAGGAGGAGGAGGAGGAGGAGGAGGAGGAGGAGGAGGAGGAGGGGAAGGAGGAGGAGGAGGGGTCTGGGGAGGAAGAGGAGATGAGTGAGGAGGAGGAGGAGGAGAGCGAGGGAGGGGAGGGGCAGCGAGTGCTGTTCTTTAATGACACGGACAGCAGCGTGGATGGCGGCATGGATGGCGGCGACAGCCATAGCTATGGGCATGCGGATGGGAATGACAGTAATTATGGTCGTGCGGATGGGGGTGGTTGTGGGGGCGCGGACGACGGTAATGTGGGTGACCTTGCTGGGGGGAGTGGCGGGGGGAAGAGGCGCGCGAGGAGGCGCAGGGGCGGTGGCGGGAGAGGGGAGAGCGGGAGCAGGAGCAGCAGTAGAGGTGGGGAGGGAATGGGGGGAAGCTTGGGGGGAAGCGTGGGGGGGAGCATGGGGGGAAGCAGCGCTGGAGGAAGCTTCAGGGGGAGCATCGGGGAAAGCATTGGTGGGAGTATTGACGGAGGAAGCATAGTGGGGAGCATGGGCGGAGGAAGCAGAGGGGGAAGCATGGGCGGAAGCATGGGCGGCAGTGGCAGCGCGGAGGAGGAGGCGGAGGGTTCCTTTGACTACCCCCTGTCGCCGCGCTCCCTCTCCGGGCGGTTCCTGGGTATGGTGATAGAGGAGGATGCTGAGGGGGAGGGCGAGGGGGAGGAGCAAGGGGAGGGGCAGGAGGAGGAGGAGCAAAGAAGAGAGGAGGAAAGGGAAAGGGCGACGGGGAGGGAGGGTGGGGGAAGGCAGCAGGTTTACACAGGCGGCAGTCAGAATGACCCTGGAATCTACCGGCAGCAGCAACAGCAGCAAGAGCAACAGAAGCAAGAGCAGCAGCAGGGGTTGGCAAGTCGGCCGCGCACGGGAGGGTCAATGAGCAGTGAGAGGCGCAGCTTCGACCGGTTTCAGGAGGAGATGTTTCAGTCGCACCGCTCCCAAGGCTCGCTCTCCCAGCTTTCTGAGGCTACCCCCTCGGAACGCTCCGATGGGGAGGCTGATGCACGGCCGTGGGCTCAAGGGCCTTACTCCGGTGTTTCACATGCAGATAGAATGGAGATTTCGGAGGGAATGGGGGGAATGGAGGCAGAGGCGTTCCCACGGGAGGGGGCGGTGTTTTCCCGGGAGACAGAGGACAGGGCGAGGCTGCGGCGGCCGTGGGCCAGTAGTGAGGAGCACTATAGCGGGGATGGGAGGGACAGGGATGGGAGGGGCGGAGTACGGCACTATAGCGAAGGGAGCAGGGGGGCAGGTAGCGGGGGAGAGAGGGGTTGGAAGGATGGTCGATGGAGTGAGGGTAGTGCAGAGGCCGAAGCTGAGGCAGAGGGAGAGGGGATTGGGTGTGTGAATTATGAAGGTGAGTATCTGAGCCCGGGGGGTACCGGGGGTGCAAGCCTTGAAGACGAGTACTTGCCTCTCAACAAAGGGCCCGGGTGGTCGCCGCATCAGCAGCCGCAGAAGCACCATCAGCATGAGCATGAGCAGCAGCAGCAGCAGCAGCAGCAGCATCATGGGAGCGTGGTGCTGGCAAGTGAGGGGGACAGCAAAGGCTTGGGTCCAGCAAGGGGAGCGCGTGGGCAGAGCGTGGGGCTGGCGGGTGAGGGGCGAGGGGAGCAGTGGGGCCGGGGAAGCGGAGACGAGGCACAGGTGTACAGGCAGAGAGGTGAAGGTGGAGATGAAGGAGAGGATGAAGATGGGAGTGAAGGTGGCGACCTTGAGGTGGCGCCGTATGAGTCCACTAGCGGACGCTCCTTGCCATCCGATGCGCCGTGTGTGCCGCCTGATGTGTCGTGCGACGCGGTGCAGATTCCCAATGAGATGCGCATTGGCGATGAGCTGGCCATCCGATTCACCCTCACCAACAACTCCCCCCTCCCGTACGTGTGCTCCTCGCTCCCTCTGCATGCCTCACTCTCTCTCCCTCCCGTACGTGCTTACCTTCTCTTCATGCCTTGCTCTGTCCTGATCTTTCCTGCTCCTTCCAGCACCGCCCTCCCACTCTCTCTTCCCTCCATCCCTCATCTCCCTCCCACTCCCTCTCTTCCTCCCCTCCCCTCCCAGGCTGCAAGGCGAGGTGGAGGTGGTGGCAGCGGTGGAGTCTTCTCTTCCCGATCTCTCCTGTTCCTCCCATTTTTCTCTCTCACACTCTCTCTTCCCCCCTCCCCTCCCAGGCTGCAAGGCGAGGTGGAGGTGGTGGCAGCAGTGGAGTGGGCGAGTGAGAGCGACAGCGAGCGAGACAGCGCGCGGGGGGCACTCACGCCCGGCTCGGTCAAGCGGGGAGGCGAGAGGTCAGCAGGCAGGAGGCAGCGGCGGGAGAAGCGGGAGTTCCTGCCGCCCCTCGCCGCCCACGAGAGCGTGACCATCGACGTCCACCTGGCACTTGATGATTCGTCGCTGCCGGCGCCCTTCTCCCTCGCGTCTGTATCGACCGAGCTTGTGGTGGAGGGCCAGCGCTCGCACAAGCGGTGAGAGGGGGGATTGGGAGTGAAAAGGGGTGGGCTGGGCAGTATGTGAGCTTGAGTCCACTCAAAACGCGTCCACTCAAAACGCGTCCACTCAAAACGCGTCCGCTCAGAACTCGCGTGACGATTCGTCGCTTCCGGCGCCATCCCATCTCCCTGCTGGTGTCTGTCAGCTGAACTCGTGGTGGATGGCCAGCGCTCGCGCAAGCGGTGAGAGCAAAGGAGTATGCGGGGGCTGGGCATTCTCGTACAAGTGGTGGTGAGGGGGGCTTTGGGAGCCAAAAGCAGTGCGCGGGAGAGGAGAAGCATGTGGGCAGTTTGTGGCCCGCTGTTTTTGAGTGGACTCAAAAACAGACTCATCTGCCTGGGTAAATGCCATGCACGGCTGGCCCAAGCAGCCCCACCAGATCATAAGCGGCCCTCCTCACCACTCCTTCCCTCCCGTACCCCCCTTCCCCACCCACCTCCTCCTCTCCCCACCCACCTCCTCCTCTCCCCACCCACCTCCTCCTCTCCCCACCCACCTCCTCCTCTCCCCACCCACAGGCGCAAGCAGGTGCGGCTGGTGCCTGGGTACGTGCCAGGCACGGCTGAGGGAGGCAGCAGCCCTACGGGGCAGTGGGTAATGGGCGCAGGGGGGACAGCGGGGCAGCAGCAGTGGGCGGAGGTGCTGTTGCTGACAGATGAGCGCTTCACATCCACGCAATATGGCGCGTGGCGCTCCATCTGCTGCCTGCTCGGGTGAGACAGCAGGGAATGTTGATAGTAGTAGTAAAAAGAATCTTGTCTATAATAACAATTGTATTCAATAATAATAAGAGTATCTACGGGTAATCATCAAATCAAGGTTATCATTAGTGAGGAAGCGTTTCTTTTTGTTGCAGTTTTATTTACCTCTTTCATTGTGTGTGTGTGTGTGTGTGCGTGCGTGCGTGCGTGCGTGCGTGCGTGGGTGTGTGTGTGTGTGTGTGTGTGTGTGTGTGTGTGTGTGTGTGTGTGTGTGTGTGTGTGTTTACCCAACCGGTGGAGCGACCCTTCCCAACTTCCCAAATCCGCCACTCATCGTTTCATTTCAAACCCCTACTCCCTCACCAGGCTGCAGCACACAGTGTGGGACATTCGGTTGCAAAAGGGACTGCTCGCACCCGACGCCACATCAACAACCGCGGCAGCAGCAGCATCAACGCCAGCAGGAGGGAGGGCCAGCCCCAACGCGCCCAGCACATCTAACCCCAAATCACCCCGCTTTCCTGCCACCACCACCACCACCACCACCGGCACCACCAACACTGGCACTGACAATGACCCTCCCGGGTGGCTATCCCGACATGCCCTGGTCGTTCTCCCCCACGCGCCCCCCGCCTCCAAGCTTCCCCCCCTACTGCTGCGCGTGCTGCCGCAGATGGTCGCGACCAGGGGAGGCGTATATGGCGCCGAAACCGTGGGTGTGCTTATAGGGGGGGTATCTGCTGCCCAGCTTGCAAACCACATGCTGGAGCTCGCACAGACTGTCAGGACTCTGGAGGTGCCGCTGAATTTGAGTGTGAAACACCTGAAACACCTGAAGCACCTGAGGCAGCACCTGAAGGAGTTGACCCCAGGTGGTGGGGGTGGGGGGGTGGCGGGTGCAGGAGTGATGTCGTGCTTTCTGCCGTTTGGGCAGAGGAGTCCGAGAGGGGGTGGTGGGAGCGGCGGCGGCAGTGGGAATGGTGTGGCGCTAGCTGCCACAGCACAGGCACAGAAGCTCAGGGTAAGCCTTTCTCCCTGCGCGTTTTGAGACATCTGAAAAGCTTTAAAACAGCTACAAGTTTATGACGTGTCTCAATGGCAATAGTGTGTGTCGCTCTCCCTGCTCCTCCTCCTCCTTTTACTCCCCCTCCTCCCCTCTCCTGTCTTTCCTCCTCGTTTTTATATTGAATCGCTCCACTGGAGCGTGGAAATCATGCCACTCACTTATTCCCGCCCCTCCTGTCCACCCCCGCTCTCCCTCCTGTCCTGCCCAGGCTGATCTACGAAGCGAGTTTCCTGAGTATCGGCATTTCGTGGAAATCCACCTACCACTGGACCAGCAGCAGCAACCGCAGACTCAGACACAAAAGAAGCAGCAGAAGCAGCAGCGGAAGCATCAAAAGGAGCAGCAGGAGAAGCAGGGGGAGGGGGGCAGCATGGCTAGAGTGCGCGTCGCCCGGGGCCACCTGCCTTCCCTCTTCCGCCTGCATGCCCTCCCCCTTGCTGCTGACATCACTCTGCCGCCCACTTCCGACACCCTCGCCGCCCCGCTGCCGACCGCTGCCCAACCCATCACCTCCCACTCCCTCCCCTCCTTTCCCTCCTCGTCCCCTCCTAGCCTCACCCAGCTTCCCCGCTTCTCAGTCTCTTCCGAGCCTCCGGAGCTCTCCCTGGTTCGGCGAAGGTCCGGTGGGAGGCCCGGGGTGGGAGGGGATTATCCAATGGATGAGGAGGAAGAGGGGGAGGAAATGGAGTATGGGGTGTTGAGTTCTTATAACAACGGCGGCCTAGTAGTATCACCTTCAGCACAAGCATCAGTTGCAGCATCAGCAGCAGCAGCAGCATCACCAGCAGCGCCGGTAGCAGCAGCACTAGTTAGCCCACGAGGCGTTGCCATCCCCCCCAACTGCTACCGATCCTGGATTCAAGGTCAGGAGCTAGGCCAGGGGCAGGGGTTAGGTCTGGGACTGGGCTTTGAGCAAGGGGGGGATAAAGGGCAGGGGCAGGGGCTGATGCAGCAGCAGGGGGAGGGGGGCCTTGGGGGAAAGGGGAGGGTGAGGCCGAGTAACCGGCTGTTCTACTCGATGCCGTTTGGCCTTGCTAAAGGAAAGGGGGCAGGAGGCGGCGCAGGAGCAGCGGGGGCAGGTGTAGGGGCAGGAGTAGGGGCAGGAGTAGGGGCAGGGGCAGGGGTAGGGGCAGGGGTAGGGGCAGGGGCAAGCAGAACGTTGAGCATTGCAAGTAGAACAGTGAGCATGAACACAGGCATGGGGTTGAGTGTTCCCAAATCTTGGTCTGACATGCCCAGGAGTCAGAGGCTAGGGGCGGGTGCAGCAGCGGGAGAGGGGATGGCAGGAGTGGGAGGGATGCTTTCCAGGAAGGCGCTGACTGATGTGTCGGACAGGATGCGCCTGGGGAAGGGTGATCTGCGGCGGCTGGGTGGACAGAGCGGGGAGGGGCAGTTGACGCAGCAGGAGCTGATGCAGCTGCAGCAGGCAGGGTTTCAGGTGCAGCAGCAACAGCAGCAACAGCAGCAACAGCAACGGAAGCAGCAGAAGCAGCAGGCAGGTCTGCCCCCACTCTCCCCTCGCACCTCACTCACCCTCCCACACCCACACCTACACTCACACTCACAGCCGTGGCAACAGCAACAGCAGCTTCCTGTGGGGACACAACAAGCGGGCTTTAACCAGGTACAATCCACGGGCCCTCGGTTGTCCTCTGACTCCTCGTGTGCCTCAGGCCCCGTGTTCCAACACTCGCAGCCGTGGCAGCATGAGCCAGGGCAGCAGAAGCAGCAGCAGCAGCAGCAGCAGCAGCAGCAGCAGTATCAGCTTCAACACCAGAATCAGCAGCAGCAAATGCAGCAGCCCCAGCAGTGGCAGCAGCAGCAGCAGCACATGCAATCCGCAGGTGTACCCACCCACACCAACCCCTCCCAACCATCCGCATCCTCTGTGTGGATACCAGGCAGCTATGACGAATCAGAGGCCTCTGACTCCCACTACCACCTCCGCACCACTAACTCTCTCCCTCACCACCCCCGTGCCTGGCCTGCCGAGCCTGGGCACTCTGGTTCGGGAGGCAGCAGCGGGGACAGCTTTTGGGGCAGCGGCGGCAGGGGGCTTGTTGCTGGTGTTGGTGACGCTGCTCCTACTCCTGCTGCTGCTACTGGTTATAGTGGTGAAGGTGGAAGGGGTGGTGGAGGCGGAGGGGGCGGAGGGGGAGGACAGGCGGGGCAGGCAAGAGGGCGGTCCAGTGGTAAGGTCAAGAAGGTGCTGAGTGGGCCACTGCTGTCACGTGGCAGGAGGCACGGCAACAGACGCGCCTGGATGGGACGGGTCAGTGGCACGGGAGTGGATGGCGGGGAAGCAGGAGGGGGAGGTGGAGGAGGGGGAGGACAAGTGTGGGGTGAAGAGGGAATGGGAGAAGGGGAAGGAGGGTCTGGGTATGGCAATATGGCCCCAGGCGCAGTAGGAGGGATGACTGGCAGCATGAACAGTAACCCACACATGAACAGTAACCCACACATGAACAACACTCCGGAGATGATGCAGAAAATGATGTCTATGAGCCTCCCCGGCTCGCTGCTGCAGGCATTCGGGCACGGTCGGTTGGACTCGGGTAACGAACAGCCTGCCATCGCTCGCACTCACACCGACTCGCCTAGACCTTCCCACCAGTCACGGCACCACCACCACCCAGTCCCGTACCACCAGCAGCAGCAGAAGCAACAGCAAGCCCAGCAGCAGCAGCAGTGGCAGCAGCAACAGCAGCAATCGCAACAGCAGCAGCAGCAGAGATCTCCGCAGCAGCTATCCATTCAGGCCCCACCAGTTGTGAGCCCGAACCAGACAAGCAGGCTTGGAAGCAGCTTCGGCAAGGTCCCGAGGCTGATTCCGCTGGGCGGCGAGGACTCGGTGTACGGCGCGAGTGTGATGGGGGTGCTGGCAGCTCTGCCGATGCAGGTGAAGGTGGATGTGGTGTTCAGAGTGGTGCAGTGGGGTTCCAGCCACTTTGACCTCCCTTCCTTCGAAGGGTTTGTGGGGACGAAACCCAAGCGCCTGCCCCTGTTGCTGCTGGTTTCCTTGGCTATTTATGAAGATCTGATTCTGGATTGTAACAGCGGGTGGCGGGACATGCCGCACTGCGCCGCCTTGCTGCAGGTGATAGAGAGGAGGGAGCGGGCGGCGGCGCCTGTCTGGGACTGGCCGCCCACTCAGCCGTGCGTGGATGCTCTGATGGCGCCTCTCATGCTGCTGCACACCAATCAGATGCTGCCACATGTCACCAGCTCCTCTTCTTCCTCCCTTCTCTCCTCCACCTCTTCCTCTTCCTCCTCCTCCTCCTCCTCCTCCTCCTCATCTACCACACTCACGCATGAGCAGCAAACAGCAGTCTCACAGTACGTCGCACGGGCGGCAAAGCTGTTTGGTGCTGATGTGGCACCTGCTGACGTGGTGATGCCAGATGGCCGCCAGCTGGCGGGGATACGGCAGCAGCTGGAGGAGGCGAGGGCGGTGCTGCAGCCCCATTGGTGGGAGGAGCACTGGGCGGCGGAGGAGGAGGTGGGGGTTGTGGTGGTGGATGGGGAGGAGGACGAGGAGGAGGGGTGATGTGAGGTGGGGTGAAGAGGTGTGGTGTTAGGGAAAGGGGAGAGGAGTTGTGGAGAGATTATGATAGCTTAGTTACCGTGTGCCAGCATCTGCTGTGTGGAGGAACAGAAGACTCATGGATCATGGATGGATGGCTTTTGAGGCGCCTCAAAAGATCATGGATGGATGGCTTTTGAGGCGCCTCAAAAGATCATGGATGGCTGGCTTTTGAGGTGCCTCAAAAGATCATGGATGGATGGCTTTTGAGGCGCCTCAAAAGATCATGGATGGCTGGCTTTTGAGGCGCCTCAAAAGATCATGGATGGCTGGCTTTTGAGGTACCCCCACAATGATTTCCCTAGTGCAGGATTATATTCATTCATACCGTACCTTTCTCTTGACTACTAACATACATTATTAGTGTTTGCTGCTTTCATTTACGACCAGTGCTCTGGCAAGCAACCACCAACCATTGCAGTCTCCCTTCACTGCGTATGGGATTGTGTAATGACTTTGTGTTAGTGGAGCTACTGGTAATGGGACACCGCTTTGGTTCGGTGTTTCTACCAATCCACCGAGGCAGCAGCTACGGTACCTTGTTCATTGCCAATGACATTTGTTTCTAGGATTGGAATGAGGCAGCAGCAAATGCGCACGCTCTTCCCCTACACCAGCCGACTTTCGAGACGTCTCAAAAACCAGCCGAGACTAGTTTACACAATGTTCTGATTCTATAGTGAAGAGTTGATACATACTGGCTCATGCGCATGCTCTTCCCCTACACCAGCCGAGATGACCTGAGTCAACTAAGAAGCCACTTTGAGTCGACTCGTGGATGCTACTCCCCTCCACCTCATCCCACGACCAGGTTGAGAATCCTTCCCTTGACAAAGATGGTCTTGCGCACGCTCTTCCCCTCCACCACCCGAGCCACATTGGGGTGGGCCAGCGCTGCCGCCACTGCTGCTTCCTGCTCCACCCCCACCGCCACCTGCAGTGTGGCACGCACCTTGCCGTTCACCTGCACTGGCAGCGCGATCGTGTCCTCCACCAGGTACTGGGGCAGGGCCTGGGGAGTGGGAGCGGAGAAGGGAGGGGAAGAAGGGAGAAGGGAGGGAAGACGGGGCAGAGAAGGGTGGATTGGGATGTCGTGGCACCTGCGTGTGGCTCTTCCCCTCCACCGGGCGGGCCACGTTGGGGTGGGCCAGCACTGCCGCCACTGCTGCTTCCTGCTCCACCCCCACCGCCACCTGCAGTGTGGCGTGCACCTTGCCGTTCACCTGCACTGGCAGCGCGATCGTGTCCTCCACCAGGTATTGGGGCAGGGCCTGGTGGGGAGGAAAGGAAGAATAAGGCGGAGGGGAAGGAAAGGTAAAAGTAAGGGGGATAGCGCTAGCATGGCACCTGCAGTGTAGCGTGCACCTTGCCGTTCACCTGCACTGGCAGCGCTATTGTATCCTCAACCAGGTATCGGGGTAAGGCCTGGTGGGGAGGAAAGGAAAAGGAGAAGGGGTGAGGGGATGGATAAAGGGAGGGCCTATAATGGTCAACAAACGCTGATGATGGGCGTGGCCGAGGGAAGCAGCGCAACCCAGGCGCTGCAAGAGATGCCCTTGCAACTGGCTTTTGCACGTTGAGACGCGTCACTCCAGGGTGCTTCACCAGCCGACCTTCCTGTGGCCACGGGTCGTATGCCAGCGACAACGAGTGTGCTAGGCGCTGCAGGAGCCCCCCTTTCAACGGATTTCACAGTCAAGCCCTGAGTGCTACACACTCAAGTTTAACCCCAGCTGCGGCCATGGCTTGTAAGTGAGGAAGGAGGAGGCCCGGCAGGCGCTGTCAGAGCTCCTCAGCGACAAGGTTCGTCGTTAGTGCCCATACCCAACCCTACCTGCGGCCACGGCTCATAGGCGAGGGACGAGGTGCCTCCCAGGCGCTGCCTCCTCGGCAACGTGCGGGGCGAAGGGCGAGAGCAACAGCACGAGCGGGCGGGCGGCGTCTTTCGGCACGTTGGGCCACTTGTAGGCGGCGTTGGTGAACTCCATCATGGCCGCTATGGCCGTGTTGAACCTCATCGCCTCCACCTCCTCTGTCACCTGTTGTGGGGGGTTGGGCCAGGGGGTGGAGGGTGGGTGGGTTGGTGGTGGGGTTTGAGACGTTGGTTGGTGAATTCCATCATGGCTGCTATTGCCGTGTTGAACCGCATCGCCTCTACCTCGGTCACCTGGTGGTGGGGGGTTAAGGGGGGGAATGGGAAGGTGGTGGTGAGCATGTGGTGGGTTTAATGGGGACGAGGTGTCAGCATGTGTGTGTTGGCCACTTGTAGGCGGCGTTGGTGGATTCCATCATGGCTGCTATGGCCGTGTTGAACCGCATCACCTCCACCGCCTCCGTCACCTGATGGTGAGAGAGAGGGGAGGGAGTGGTGGGTGGGTGGGTGGGTGGGAGGTGGGTTTTGAGACCTTTCAGAACTCCATCATGGCCGCTATGGCCGTGTTGAACCGCATCGCCTCCACCTCCTCCGTCACCTGGTGGATGGGAGGACGGGCGGGCAGGTGGGCACGGTGTTGTAATTTCATATCTTATACAACATACATAAGCTAGAATTAGATGTGTAGCACATTTATAAATTGGGGGGTTGTTTAGTGTACCCTCCAACCACATTTTGTGGTTGGTTGGGATTGGTCCTTAACTCAACTAATCCCAACCAGCACACATTTGTGGTTGCTTGGGCCACAAGCAAGCTCACCCATTGGTCAACATATTGGCCAATCGGGTAAGCTTCCCTCTCATCTCTCTCTTGCTCATTGTTTGGACTAAAGGGCCTCTTGGCTCATTATTCAATTGATCAATTCTCTCCTTCAACATGGTATCATGAGCTAATGGCTCACGCCTTCATCCCTCGGTCCTTAGACCACCCTCTCCTCCCCGTCCCTTAGATCTAGCCTTCTAGAACGGAACTGCCATCTCTTCGCGCGCCCTTTAGGCGCTGTCCTCCCTCCCCGCGCGCCCCATAAGGCGCAGCCCTCCAAGGCACTGCTCCACGCACGTCCAGATCTGCAACTCCAGCGCCCAAATCTGACCTCCCAGCGCCCAGATCTGACCTCCCAGCGCCCAGATCTGCCCTCCCAGCGCCCAGATCTGACCTCCCAGCGCCCAAATCTGCCCTCCCAGCGCCCAGATCTGCCCTCCCAGCGCCTTGATCCGCTCTCCTCGCGCTCAGATCTGCAATTCCAGCGTCCAGATCTACTCCTCCCGCGCCCAGATCTACTCCTCCCGCGCCCAGATCTACTCCTCCTGCACCCATATCTGCACATTTCGTTACCAGATCTGCATTCCGCGCATCCAGATCTGCACTCCGCGCGACCAGATCTGCACTCAGCGCGACCAGATCTGCACTCCGCGCGACCAGATCTGCACTCAGCGCGACCAGATCTGCATTCCGCGCGACCAGATCTGCATTCCGCGCGACCAGATCTGCATTCCGCGCATCCAGATCTGCACTCCGCGCGACCAGATCTGCACTCAGCGCGACCAGATCTGCATTCCGCGCATCCAAATCTGCGCTCTGCGCGCCCAGATCTGCACACTCCGCGCAACCAGATCTGCACTCAGCACGACCAGATCTGCACTCCGCGCGACCAGATCTGCACTCCGCGCGACCAGATCTGCACTCAGCGCGACCAGATCTGCATTCTGCGCGACCAGATCTGCATTCCGCGCGACCAGATCTGCATTCCGCACATCCAGATCTGCACTCCGCGCGACCATATCTGCACTCAGCGCGACCAGATCTGCATTCCGCACATCCAAATCTGCGCTCTGCGCCCAGATCTGCACACCTCGCGACCAGATCTGCACTTTCCGCGCCCAGATCCACTCCTCCCGCGCTCGGATCTGCCACAGGGCTGCCCTCCTCGTCCCTACCCACAGCAGCATCATCAGCGGCATCTGCAGCGACGCCAACAGCAGCACCCTTCCCCCTGCCTCCCCCATAACATCGCTCCCCCCCTCCTCCTCCACCTTCCCCCACCTTCCGCTCCTCCCTTCCTCCTCCCATCCTACGAGCAGCAGGACCAGCAGCGGCAGCAGCGGCACCAGCAGCAGGACCAGTAGCGGCACCAGCACCGGGACCAGCAGTGGCACTAGCAGCAGGACCAGCAGCGGCACCAGTAGCAGGACCAGCAGCGGCACCAGCAGCAGGACCAGCGACCAGCAGCGGCACCAGCGGCAGGACCAGCAGCGGCACCAGTAGCAGGACCAGCAGCGCCACCAGCAGCAGTACCCTCGCCCCATCCTCCTCCTGCCCTTGTTTCCACCCACCCTCGAATCTATGGCATCGTCGGATTCTTCCGTCGACCTTGCTACTGTTGATGCACTCGAGTTGCTACCCGACAACACTGCTGCTAATTGGCACTCCTACGCTCACTCGGTCGAGGTTCTCCTCTCCTCTGTTGTGATCAGCGGCTACAACCTTCGCTCGGTTAACTTCCAGGAAGGTGGTGGACTTCAGCCCGTGGCCCCCACCGCTCCCACTGGACCTATCCCCACCCACCCTGGCGCCGAGCCCTCTCCCCCTGGTGATCCTCCCACCTTTGCACCGAATGTCAACGATCCACAAAGCTCGGAGACCGCCATCCGCACCTACCGCACCAATCTCCAAGAGCACCTGCGCCAGCAACTGCGTTACGAGGACAAGAAGCGCATTTATGACGACGCCGCTGCCCGCTACAGCAAGTACCCGGAGGACCTTGACACCTACACCGCAGACCTTGCCAACTACACCACGAAAATCACTGCCTGGCGAGTTGCCGATCGGCACGCGCTTGCCATTCTTCTTGCCACCGTCCCCTCCTCCCTCAAACGCGAGCTCTCACCTACCTCCTCCTCCCACCTGTGGCGACTCCTCGTCGACCTTTTCGATCGGCAAGACGTTGCCACCCTCTACGCCCTCATCAAAGAATTCGGCACTCTCTCCATGGACTCCACTTCTAGAGCCGATCCCTTCACTCGCCGTGTCCTAGACCTTGCTCGGCACCTTGCGGCACTCGATGTGGTGTACCCGGACACTGTCATCTGCTGCCACCTCCTCGAGGGCCTCACACCTGCCTTCGAAGCTCACAAGCTTGCCTACATGCAGCTTCTCTCCAAGCACCATACCCCTGCTGAAGTCGCTCAGTGGATTATCACCTCCGAAGCCGAAATCCTTCGCCACTCTACCTCCACAGTTGCAGTAGCTCAGCCGCGCAGCAGCAGGGATGGGCGTGGTGGTGGGCGTGGGGGTGGACGAGGCGGATCACCGGGTCGCGGTGGCAGTGGTAGCGGTGGTGCGGGTCGCGGTGCGGCAGCTGCCTTTCCTCCCTGTCAGTACCTGCCTCGCTACGGTCCCACTCAGGGACAGCGCTGCGGCCAAACCACTCATGCCACAGAAACATGCTTCAAGGCACTCAGTGATGAGTGGTTTGCCCGTGGCAACACCGGCACCTCTCCTCGCTGGTCTGCCCTCAACCCACGCCCCACTCCTCTTGAAGTCCGTTCCTCTCCCCTCTATGAGCCTTCCTCCTCCACCCAGGCCCACCAGGCCCTTGCCCCTCCCCAGCAGCAGCAGCAGCAGCAGCAGCAGCAGCAGCAGCTTGGGAGTCAGCAGCAGGGGTTACAACAGTATGGGCAGCAGCTTCTCCTTTCTCAACTCCAGCAGCAGCTCGACCTACAGCCGCAGCTGCCCCTCCTCCCTCCTCCTCCCGTTTCCCAGCAGCAGCCCTTTCCTACCTAGACTGCCGGGAGTGCTGCCTCCGCAGCCCATCTCTCGGGTGCATCTCCAGCGCCGTCTGCAGGTGGCAGTGTGACCGCTTTCCCCTCTTCTGGTTTTGTCGGTTTGCTAGGTCAACCTGAATCTGTTGCATCTCCCATGTACCCTTCCTCTGTTCATGCAACTTCGTTCCAGTACTCTGCCTCACCCTCCTCCACCCTTGATTTCGTCCTGGACAGTGGAGCCACTGACACTGTCCTTCGTGATGCTGGTACACTGCGCCCTCTCCCCACACCCACCTCCCTCCTCGGTGCTGATAACAGTTTTTCTATCCCCTGTCACAACACTTCCACCCTTCCCTGTCCTCTCTTTCCCTCAGGTACTGTCACCGGTCTCCACATTCTCTCTCTACGCACTAACCTCCTCTCCCAAAGGTCCCTCCAACAAGCCAATATTACCACTGTCTTCCCAGGTGGTGCTAACTACTGTGCCCTTTACAATACTGCTACAGGTCGCCTTCTCTCTCGTATTCCCTTCTGTCCTCGTTCCCGTTTGTACACCCTTCGGATTCCCCGCCCCCCCACCTGCCAAGTCGCCTCTCCCTCTCTCCTCCCTCCCCCTCCCCTCCCTCCCACTGACCCACCCCTCCCTCCCCGCCCCCCTGAGTCTGACTGCTCCTGTCGCTCCCTCTCCCACCCTACCATCCTCCTCCATCACAGGCTAGGTCACCCTAACTTCGCTACTCTGCGCTCCTCTGTCTCCTCCGGTCTCCTCCACGGTCTCCCCTCCTCCCTCCCTCCCCTCCCCAAATCCCTTGCCCCTCCCTGCACTATCTGCGTTCAGAGCAAGCTCAAGCAGCAGCCGCACCGGAGCTCCCCCTCCACTGCTGCACAGCCACTTGACCTTGTTCACATGGACCTCTGGGGCCCTAATCCCTCTCCCACTCGCCAGGGTCATCGCTACCTTCTCGTGCTCGTTGATGATCACAGTCGATACTCGTCTGTCTCTCTCCTTCGGACGAAGGCGGACGCCCCGGCTGTGATCATCGCCTGGCTCGAGCGGGCAAACACCCATTGTGGGCGCCCTGTTCGCCGCCTTCACTCTGATGGTGGTGGTGAGTTCTTCAACAACCAAGTCTCCTCCTATTGTCAGTCTCATGGCATTTTTCAGACTTACACCCTCTCTCACTCCCCACAGCAGAACGGTGTGGCTGAGAGTCGTGTTCGAGAGATCACCAAAACAGCCCGGTGTCTTCTTGTCCACGCCTCCTGCCCCCCTTCTCTGTGGGGCTACGCCCTCCTTCATGCCGCCCTCCTTACTAACCTTTACCCTCACCCCCTTCTCCCTTCCACCACCCCCACTGAGCTATGGACAAAGGACAAGCCTGATGTCTCATCTCTTCGTGTCTGGGGCTCAAAGGCATATGTCCTTATTCATCCCTCTGACCGCTCCCGCTCCATGGGAAAGCTTGCCCCTCGCACCCTTCCCTGCATCTTCCTTGGTCATAACCCTACCTCACCTGACTTCCTTTTCCTCCATCCCCCCTCAGGTCGTCTAGTCCGCAGTAGGGATGTGGTCTTTGATGAGTCCACTCCCTACTACTCCTCTCCCCCATCCACTGACCCACTCCCCCCTCTCACCCGTCCCCTTGTCTGGTCTGACACCACCCCTCCCCCATTACTCCCTCCTCCCCCCATCCTCCCGCCTCCCCCCCCTCCGTCGTCCCCGTCCCACGGTGCCCCTCCCTCGTCTGGTGATATCTTTGACCCGGAACCTCTGTCCTCTCCGGTCTCCCCCACACATTCCTCTCCCAGTGCCCCTCCCCCCCTCCTCTCCCCTCCCTCGCCACCGACCCGTCCTTCACCTCCTCCTCGCACCGTACTTACCCGGTACCCCCATACCAGGTCACGTGACGGTATCCTTGGTGCACCGCCCCCTGATACCCTTTCTTCCTCTACCCTCCCCCCTCTCTCCCCTCTCCTTCACCACTTCTTCCAGTCTGTTTTGCATCAACCTCCTCCTGCAGCAGCCCCCTCTGCCTCCTCTCCCTCACTAGCAGCAGCGTCCGCAACGGCACCAGCAGCTGCACCAGCAGCAGGACCAGCAGCAGGACCAGCAGCGGCACCAGCAGCAGGACCAGCAGAGGCACCAGCAGCGGCACCAGCATCGGCACCAGCAGCGGCACCAGCAGCAGCACCAGCAGCCATCCCCGCCTTCCACACCTCCCTCTCTGAGGACTCCCATGAAGAGTTCCTTGACCTCCACCTCTGTAACCCCTCACTTCTACCCATCACATTCGACCTCTGCGGCACACCCGTCTTCGCCTTTTCCTCTACTCCCTCCGCTTTCATCCCTACCACGTATGCGGAGGCAATGGTTTGCCCCGACGCCCCTCTTTGGCTCGCCGCCATCATCAAGGAGCTGGAGGTCTTTATCGCCAACTCCTCCTTCGTTGATGCGCCTCGCCCTCCCGCCTCTACGAACGTGGTGAAGGGGAAGTGGGTGTTTCGCGTCAAGCAGCTGCCAGGGGAGCCGCCCGTCTACAAGGCTTGTTACTGTGCCAAGGGCTTTACGCAGCGGTATGCTGTTGACTTCTTCGATACTTTCTCCCCTACCGCCAAGCCTTATACCGTTCGAGCCGTGCTCGACCTCGCCGCTCGCCTAAATATGGAGATCCACTCGATGGACGTTTCTAACGCCTTTCTGCAAGGCATCCTCCGCGAGCTAATCTACATGGAGTGTCCAGCCAGCTTTCACCTTCCCTTCCCAGCTAACTCTGTTTGGCAGCTGCGTCGACCTGTGTATGGGCTCCGACAGGCCCCTAGGGAGTGGCATGCCACCCTTGCTGAACTTGGGTTTCGCACCTCCTGCTCCGAAGCCAGACTCTTCCTCCGCGCCTCCCCCTCCCCCTTCTACATCCTTGTGTATGTCGATGACATGATTCTGCTCACCGCCAACCTTGCTGAGCTGGAGAGTGTTAAGGCTGAGTTGGGTAGTCGTCTTAAGTGCAAGGACTTGGGAGAGCTGCAGCATTACTTGGGCATGACCATCACCCGCGATCGCTCCACCCGCACCATCTCTCTCTCCCAGGGTCATTACTTGCAGCAGGTCTTGGAGCGATTTGACATGGCCCGGGGCAGTGCCCAACATACTCCTCTTTCTGTCGGGCACCACCTCTCTCCACCCACCTCCCCCCCAACCTCCTCCCATCCTTATCCCGAGCTCGTCGGCTCCCTCATGTACGCTATGGTCTCCACTCGCCCTGACCTTGCCTACCCCATCAGCGTCCTCGCTCGTTTTGTTGGCGCAGGCAACCATACCGAAGAGCACTGGCAGGCCGCCAAACGTGTCCTCCGGTATCTTCGTGGCACCAAGGACTATGTCCTTACCCTTGGCGGCCCCTCCCCACCTCTCCTCAGCGGCTACAGTGACTCCTCCTGGGCTGATTCTCGGCCGGATCGTTGCTCCTCAGGGCTATGGCTTCTCTCTTGGCAGCGGCCTTATCAGCTGGCGCTCCACCCGCTCCTCGGCTATCGCCCTCTCCTCCTGCGAGGTGGAGTTGTATGCCGCTACCATGGCTGCGCAAGAGGCCCGTTGACTCACCTTCCTTCTTGAGGAACTTGGTGCCCCCTAGCGCTGTCCCACCATCTGGTGTGACAATGCCAGTAGTACTATTCACCTCACTAAGGATGCAGTGTTTCACGGGCGCTCCAAGCACATTGAGCTCCGTCATTTCTTCATTCGCGATCTTGTTCAGGCGGGGCACTTTCGGCTCGACAAGTTTGACTCGGCGACCAACCTTGCCGACATCTTCACAAAAGCTCTTCCTCATGCGGCTCACTCTTCACTACTTCATCTCCTTGGCCTCACTCCTCCTAAGTCGTCTCCCGCCTTTTGATTCTAGCCTTCTAGCCTTATGCATGTTGGGGGGTTTTGTTGTAATTTCATATCTTATACAACATACATAAGCTAGAATTAGATGTGTGGCACATTTATAAATTGGGGGGTTGTTTAGTGTACCCTCCAACCACATTTTGTGGTTGGTTGGGATTGGTCCTTAACTCAACCAATCCCAACCAACACACATTTGTGGTTGCTTGGGCCACAAGCAAGCTCACCCATTGGTCAACATATTGGCCAATCGGGTAAGCTTCCCTCTCGTCTCTCTCTTGCTCATTGTTTGTACTAAAGGGCCTCTTGGCTCATTATTCAATTGATCAATTCTCTCCTTCAACACACGGAATGGCAACAAGAGGGTAATGGGGAAGAGCGGGGGTTGAGTGAGCAGAGGGGTATTAAGTAAAGTGCAATTCAAAGTAGTTGAGGCAGTTCAGGGAGGGAGTGAAGAGAAATAATAAATGCCCTTTGTAGGGAGGGGTGTGGGTGGGGATGTAGAGGCAGTTGAGATATTCCATGGCAGTACTCCATCTCCCCCCTTCTTCCCCTTCTCTACCTTGTGGATGCAGGCGTGCAGGGCTCTGAGCTGCTCCTCCGAGAGAGCATCATCCACGACAGAGGGCGCCACCCCGTGGGAGCGGTACTGCCCCGTGGCAGGGTCTGCCTGCCCCACGAGCAGCCGCCACACGCGCGCCAGGAACCGATGCACGCCCTCCACCCCCTTGGTGCTCCACACCTTGGTCTCCCTGACGATGAGGAAGAGAAAGAGAGGGTGAGGGTGGGTGGGGGTGGGAAATGGCGATGGAGGGAGGGAGGACCCATGGCAGAGGGGAACCAATGCACTCCCTCCACTCCCTTGGTGCTCCACACCTTGGTCTCCCTGGGGGTGAAGGGGGGATTGGGGATCAGGGGTGGGGAGGGGGATGGGGTTGGGGGTGGGGGTGTAGGTGGGAGGAGGAGATGACCAATGTCCCATGGGCAGAGCGGAACCGATGCACGCCCTCGACTCCCTTGGTGCTCCACACCTTGGTCTCCCTGGTGGCAATGGGATGGCAGGAGAGCGAAGAAGCGGAGGGCGGGGTGAGAGACGGAGCAGCAATGGGAAACAAATGAGAACGTCATCCACGCCCTTGGTGAACCTCTGACAAGCCCGGCAGGCAGAGGGAAAAATCACCAGAGAAAACACCTGGCAGCCTACAGAACAGAACAAGAAAATCACCTGAGAGCTCACCTGAGCCAACCCATGAGTATCTTATTCATCTCCACAGAAACACTCACCAGAAAGTCTTATCCGAGAGCTCACCTGAGCGGCCCCATGAACATCTCGTAGAGGCGCAGCGAATCCGCTCCAAACTCAAACACCACGTGGTCGGGATTGACAACGTTCCCCCGCGACTTGCTCATCTTGTGTGCGCGCGCCGACACCCCCACGCTCGGGTCCGCCTTGAGCACATACCCCTCCCCCTTCTTCTCCACTGCCTCTTCAGGCACCCTCTCGGGCACACACTCCCCCGGGGGGCGCTTGGCTGCCGCGTCGGCAGAGAGGAGGGCTCCTGAGGCGGTGTCGCGGTAGGCTGTGAACTCGACCTCGCCCAGAATCATGCCCTGGTTGACCAGACACTGGAAGGGCTCCTTTGTTGACACTGCTCCTATGTCGTACAGCACCTGCCAATGGGGGGTGAGCAGGGGAAGTAAGGGGCAATTACGTGTGTTTAGAAATCGTACCCCTCGCTCCACCGCCTCTTCAGGCACCCTCTCGGGCACGCACTCCCCCGGGGGGCGCTTGGTGGCCGCGTCGGCGGAGAGGAGAACGCCTGTGGTGGTGTCGCGGTAGGCTGTGAACTCGACCTCGCCCAGGATAAAGGCCTGGTTGGCCAAGCACTGGAAGGGCTCCTTTGTTGACACTGCTCCTACATCGTACAGCACCTGATGGGGGCAGGAAGGGAGGGGGTAGAGGGGTAAAAGTGAACTCGACCTCGCCCAGGATCATGCCCTGGTTGACCAGACACTGGAAGGGCTCTTTGGTTGACACGGTGCCTATATCGAATAGCACCTGGTGATTTGAGGGGAGAAGGAGTGGGTGGGGGGTTAAAGGTGGGGGAGTGGAAGGAGAATCGCCTCGCCCAGGATCATTCCCTGGTTCACCAGACACTGGAAGGGCTCCTCCTTTGTAGACACTGCTCCTATGTCGTACAGCACCTGGTGAGGGAAGGGTTGGGGGTGGGGAGGAGTGGGTGTGGTGCTTGGGATGAGTTGTGATCTTGTTCTGACGGACATTCCTCACCTTAATGATGCGCCCATCACCAATTGTATCCTACCCCCCATCGTCCTAATGCTCTTACTCCTCACCTTATGCCAGAAGCGCGCGTACAGCAGGTGCAGCACGGAGTGCTCTGGCCCCCCACGTACAGATCCACTGGGCCCCAGTACCTGATGGTGTGAGGGCAGGCAGAGGGGCAGACAGACAAAGCTGGGTTAGGTATGCTGTAGGAAAAAGACTTTTGATGCTCTCTCTTCTTCCTAAGACCCAGGCCAGCCCAGTTCTCACAAAAGACGGAGCTGGGTTGGCCTGGGTCGCAGGAAGAAGAGAGAGCCTTGCTGCGGCGAGGTGCAGCAAGGCTGGCAGATTGAAATGTGAGCGCTGGGAGTGGGGGAGTGTGTACAGCTACTGCTACACAACAGACTGCAATGTGAAGCGTGAGGGGTGCGGTGGTGTGCAGTGCGGCACTGACTCTGTGCGATTCGTGACTCACTTCTCCTTTTGCGGGTCCACGAGGGCGTTGGAGTTGGCAGGGTCCATGAATCGTAGGTAGTACCTGCCATGCAAGCATGCACGCACGCATGCACGCACGCACGCACGCACGCACGCACACAGGTAAGCAGGAAGAAAGAACGTGCAAGGGGGGTTGATCGGATGGCATGGCATGCAGGCTATCTAGAGCAGGCACGGCGAGTTGAGTTCGACAAGTGCTCACCACAGTGCTGAATTGCCAGCACATAAAACACCGCTAAGCGGACAGCAGCAGCACCAGCCAAGTCAGGTGTTACTAGGAGCAAAGGTGTGGTTAGTACGAAGAGAAAAGGCGTGGTTACCAGCAGGAGCCGGCCCATTGAGGCATGGTGTTGGTCTCCCTCCTGGCCGGTAGTCCCGACACTGGGTCTGTTATGTTCACCTAATGGAAACAAAAGATGGGAGGGCGGGAGGGGAGGTTCTGTCGTGGGGGTGCGATCAAAATCATGGACCCACGGACAGCTGCTGTTTGCATGGAGGGCTGGACTACTCCTACTCCTATTCCACCCACCCACCCAGTCAGTGGCCTTGGCAAGGGGCGGTTCCCCTGTGCCAGTGGGGTTGAAGTCGTCCATTTCAGGCAGCACCACCGGCAGCTGTGCCTCCGGCACGCCCACCACGCGCTCCTCCTGCCCGCCTTCCCCCGGCACCAGCAGCACCGGGAATGGCTCGCCCCAGTAGCGCTGCCGGGCGAACAACCAATCCCTCAGCTTGTAGTTGATCTGCAGGGGTGGGGGGGAGAGGTGGAGAGAGGGGGAAGTGGGGAGTTGGGAAGGGTTGTCACTTTAGATGAGCTTTAAAAGCTGCTGCTTCAGCTCAGCCCCAGCAGCTTGTAGTTTATCTGCGGGGAGAAGGGGGGAGGCTTGTGGAGGTAGTGCGGAGAGTTGGGGTTGGGGAAGGGGTGTCGCTTTCAGTGAGCTCTAAAAGCTGCTGCTCCAACCAACTCTCCCCAGTAGCGCTGCCAGGCAAAAACTTTTGAGTCGACTCAAAAGCTGACTTTTGCTTTCAGTGAGCTCTAAAAGCAGCTGCTCGTGTTGCTTGTGTTGCTTTCAGTGAGCTCTAAAAGCAGCTGCTCGTGTTGCTTGTGTTGCATTCAGTGAGCTCTAAAAGCAGCTGCTCTGACTCTCCCCAGTAGCGCTGCCAGGCAAAAACCCAGCCCGTAGCTTGTAGTTGTTCCCCGCACTCTTTACCGACTCACCTGTTTTCTCCCGCCCCTGCCTCACCTGCTTCTTCCCCAGCCCGCGCTCCTCCAGCCAGGCCACGACAGCGTCCCCAGCAGCAGTGTTGTCCAGCCCGTTCAGGTCCACCCCCGTGCTCTCATACGCCGAATTCACCATCACCCCGCTCCCTGCATACGCCTCCTCTATCGCTGCATCTTCTTCTCTTGACGCTTCTCCTGTCGCTTTTTTCCCCTTGCCACCACTGTTGCGTTGCACTGCTTGGCGCACGACTTGGCGCACGGGCAGAGAGAAGGTTTGAGCGAATTCGAGGTCTCGCGAGTCGTGTGCCGGCACTGCCATGATGGCGCCCGTGCCGTAGCTGCAGGCAAGGAGAGGCGAGGTCACGGTACGAGAGGCAGCGGGAGAGAGGGGAGGAGGGGTGCGTTAGAGCATTTGAGGTCACTTGCATCATGCGTGGGCACTGGCAAATGATGGCGCATGTGCCGTAGCTGCAGGCAAAGGAAGTGGAGGGGGAGGGCAGGGCAAGAAGAGGGGGGATAGTACAGAGCAGAAGTAGATGGAGAGAGGAGCCCAGGGATGAGTGAGAGCATGTGCATTTACAACATCTGCATATTTTCAACCACCAGCACAGCACGCACCTAGCGAGCACGTAGTCAGCGACCCACACGGGGATGCGCTCGCCTGTCACAGGGTTTTGAGGCGCCTCAAAAGGCGACCCACACGGGGATGCGCTCGCCTGTCACAGGGTTTTGAGGCGCCTCAAAAGGCGACCCACACGGGGATGCGCTCGCCTGTCACAGGGTTTTGAGGCACCTCAAAAGGCGACCCACATGGGGATGCGCTCGCCTGTCACAGGGTTCACGGCCTCTGCCACCTGTTCCACTTCGACAGCCTCTGCCCCGGTGGGCTCCAGCCTCCAGGTCGCACTTCTGCCCCACCATGCAGCAAGCAACCCCGCCAGCACACCAAAGCACACAGCACAGCTATGTGGAGAAAGACGCGTCCAGCGTCCTGGACGCATGCGTCCAGACGCTGGACGCTAGTTTAGGGCCCCCGAGACGCAGCAAAAGACGCAGGTCCGGGCAGCCAAAAAAAACCCCCCGGGCAGCCAAAAAAAAAGTTATAGGGCAGAGGGAAGAGGGGGTAAGAGGGGGGGGGGGGGGGGGGGGAACACACTTTCATAGCAAAATTTCTCCTCAACAACAAAATTTCAGCCACAACAATAGAACATGAAGGTGAGCCCCAAATTTCCATAATCACAATTAGTCCAAGGGTTGTTTAGCATGCATGCATACTACCACTAACTAACATGCATCACTCATCCTCCTCGCTCTCCGTCCCCTTCTCCTCCTCCTTCTCCAAATCCTCCTGCTCCTTGTACTCGTCGAAGGTGAGGTCATCCTCATCCACCTCCACCTCTCCATCCTCCTCAAGCTTGTACCCCTCGGGAAGGGGTCGGGGGGGAATGTTCCCCTCCACTATTCCCGCCTTCCTGACTTCCCCACTCGGCCCCGCACCCGCCGCACCCTTGTGGTGGTTGTGCACAACGTTCCAGTTGTGCGCAACGAACACAAGGTCGCGAACACAAGGAGCTAGCCATAACGGTGGTGCGCGGAAAGGAGCTAAAACCACTAGGGTTTTTGAAAGAGAATTGGGTTGTGAGAAAAGGGAGCACAAATGAGAGGTTTCATGAACTAAATGGGCTTTGTGGGGGTGGTGGACCACAAAGGTTGGGTTTCCTAGTTGTGGAGTGGTGGAGAGGGGTTGGATTTCCAAATCAATTTTGCAAAAAGGGGAGGGGGTTAGGGGTGAATTAGATGGCTGGTTTTGGGGGTCGAATTTGCTTGGGGGGTGTCGAATTTCGCGATCGCGAAAAAAAAAAAAATCTCGGTCTGCCCGAAAAAAATTCCAGGGTGCGTCCTGCGTCCGGACGCGCGTCCTGCGTCTTTGCGTCCGGACGCTGCGTCCGGACGCAGGACGCAGGGCTGCCCCAGCGTCTTTCTCCACATAGCAGCACAGCCCCCACCCAGGAGCACCACACCACACCACACCGTACCCACCTAGCAAGCACGTAGTCAGCGACCCATATGGGGATGCGCTCGCCCGTGACGGGATTCACCGCCTCTGCCCCCGTGGGCACGCCTGTCTTGCCCTTGGCCAGGTCCGTGCGCTCCAGGTCGCTCTTCTGCCCCGCCGCCACCACATACGCCTCCACTGCCGCCCGCTGCTCGTTCGATGTTATAGAGGCGACTAGTGGGTGCTCTGGCGCCAGGACCAGGTAGCTGGTGAGGTGATGAAGGGGAAATATGGGAAGAGGGAGGGTAGGGGAGCAGAGGGGTAGAAGGGAGAGGAATGGGGGCAGGGCGGCAAGGGGAGAGTGAAGGGGGGGTGTTGAGGCACACCCGTCTTGCCCTTGGCCAGGTCGGTGCGCTCCAGGTCGCTCTTCTGCCCCGCCGCCACCACATACGCCTCCACTGCCGCCCTCTGCTGCTCCGATGTGATGGATGCCACTAGTGGGTGCTCTGGCGCCAGGACCAGGTAACTGGTCAGCAGAAAAGGGGGAGTGCAGGGGATGGGATGGGGGAGGAGGGGAATGGGGGAAGGGAGCATTGAGGCATGCCTGTCTTGCTCTTGGCCAGGTCGGCGTGCTCCAGGTCACTCTTCTGCCCCGCCGCCACCACATACACCTCCACTGCCGCCCGCTGTTGCCCTGACGTCATGGACGCAAGAAGTGGGTGCCCCGGCGCCAATAATACGTAGCTGGTGAGCAGAGGAGGAGGAGGAGAGGAGGAAGGAAGAGTGGAGAATAATGGAAACACAGGAGATGAGGAAACTCCAGCACATCTTACATTGCCTAGGCTCCTGTCTGGTTTAGCACAAGCTTGTCAACCGAGGGCTTATATTGAAGTCCAGATTTCATTCTAGACTTGAGGAGCTTACGACCAATGAGAGGAACCCACGTGGCACCGCAGATGGTGTCGGGACGTGTGGTGAACACGCGCACGCTGGCAGACCCGTCTGCCATGTCAGCGATGGCAAATTCCACCTCAGCGCCCTCCGACCGTCCGATCCAGTTGCGCTGCATCTCCTTGACGCTCTCGGGCCAATCCAGGCCGTCCAAATCATCCAGCAGGCGATCGGCGCATTCCGTGATGCGCAGCATCCACTGGCGCATGGGCTGGCGGGGGGAAAAGCAAGAGTGGGGAGGGGGTTGAAGAGGGTAAAGGCCAAGGGAAGAAAGGGTCGGGATGGAAGGCGAAAGGGGAGAGGTGGAGGCGATCCGCGTACTCTGTGATGTGCAGCATCGTGACTTTTGAGTCGACTCAAAAGTCACCTCTGTGATGCGCAGCATCCACTGGCGCATGGGCTGGCGGGGGGGGAAGGGGGGGAGGGGATCAACGGGAAGGGCATGAAGGGGAGGGGTGAACATAAAAGTGGGGTGAACATAAAAGTGGGCGGAAGGAAAGGGAAAGTCGGATTGGAGAGAAGGGGTGTTCGCTGTGAGGCGGCGGGCATGGCTGCAGTGCGTAAGAGGGAAAGGAGAGATGGTTTACCATCCCTCTATGATGGATTCCCACCCTCCCCCCTCTTTCCCCATTTTCCTTCTAGGGACAGGGAGGTCATCTTTGAGAGTTGAGAGGTGAATCCCACCCACACACACCTTGCGGATGACCGGATGGCCGCCCCTCTCACTGACGCCGTCCACCACATCCTCATTCGCCAGCACCGTTCCCATGGGAACTTGGTCATGACTGAAAGTTGAAGGTAAATTAAATCCCCACCCCCCCACACACACACACACACCTTGCGGATGACGGGGTGGCCGCCCCTCTCACTGAGACCGTCCACCACCTCCTCGTTGGCCAGCACCGTTCCCAACGCCGGACACCAGTTCACTGCCACGTCGGCCTGACGCAGGGAGGGGAGAGAGAAAGGGGCGGAGCGCAGCAGAGAGAGAAGGGGAAGAGTGGGGCAGAGAGGCAGAGGAGTGCAAGAGAGCGGCACAGAGGGGCAGAGAGCGGCAGAGGGATGGAGGAAAAGTAGGGTGGCTGGGAGGCGTCCACCACCTCCTCGTTTGCCAGCACCGTTCCCAGGGCTGGACACCAGTTCACTGCCACGTCTGCCTGGCAGGGGCGATGTAGGGATGGATGACGGAAGGCAGGAGGTGGTGATGGTTGATGGTGGAGAGAGATAGGAAAAGTGAACCGTCCCACGGGGTTGTCCAAAGGGCATGGAAGGAATGCATGGCAACCCAAACCATTGCACGGCCATTTTTACAGCAGAGGCAACCCAAACCATTGCACGGCCATTTTTACAGCAGAGGCAACCCAAACCATTGCACGGCCATTTTTACAGCAGAGGCAACCCAAACCATTGCACGGCCATTTTTACAGCAGAGGCAACCCAAACCATTGCACGGCCATTTTTACAGCAGAGGCAACCCAAACCATTGCACGGCCATTTTTACAGCAGAGGCAACCCAAACCATTGCACGGCCATTTTTACAGCAGAGGCAACCCAAACCATTGCACGGCCATTTTTACAGCAGAGGCAACCCAAACCATTGCACGGCCATTTTTACAGCAGAGGCAACCCAAACCATTGCACGGCCATTTTTACAGCAGAGGCAACCCAAACCATTGCACGGCCATTTTTACAGCAGAGGCAACCCAAACCATTGCACGGCCATTTTTACAGCAGAGGCAACCCAAACCATTGCACGGCCATTTTTACAGCAGAGGCAACCCAAACCATTGCACGGCCATTTTTACAGCAGAGGCAACCCAAACCATTGCACGGCCATTTTTACAGCAGAGGCAACCCAAACCATTGCACGGCCATTTTTACAGCAGAGGCAACCCAAACCATTGCACGGCCATTTTTACAGCAGAGGCAACCCAAACCATTGCACGGCCATTTTTACAGCAGAGGCAACCCAAACCATTGCACGGCCATTTTTACAGCAGAGGCAACCCAAACCATTGCACGGCCATTTTTACAGCAGAGGCAACCCAAACCATTGCACGGCCATTTTTACAGCAGAGGCAACCCAAACCATTGCACGGCCATTTTTACAGCAGAGGCAACCCAAACCATTGCACGGCCATTTTTACAGCAGAGGCAACCCAAACCATTGCACGGCCATTTTTACAGCAGAGGCAACCCAAACCATTGCACGGCCATTTTTACAGCAGAGGCAACCCAAACCATTGCACGGCCATTTTTACAGCAGAGGCAACCCAAACCATTGCACGGCCATTTTTACAGCAGAGGCAACCCAAACCATTGCACGGCCATTTTTACAGCAGAGGCAACCCAAACCATTGCACGGCCATTTTTACAGCAGAGGCAACCCAAACCATTGCACGGCCATTTTTACAGCAGAGGCAACCCAAACCATTGCACGGCCATTTTTACAGCAGAGGCAACCCAAACCATTGCACGGCCATTTTTACAGCAGAGGCAACCCAAACCATTGCACGGCCATTTTTACAGCAGAGGCAACCCAAACCATTGCACGGCCATTTTTACAGCAGAGGCAACCCAAACCATTGCACGGCCATTTTTACAGCAGAGGCAACCCAAACCATTGCACGGCCATTTTTACAGCAGAGGCAACCCAAACCATTGCACGGCCATTTTTACAGCAGAGGCAACCCAAACCATTGCACGGCCATTTTTACAGCAGAGGCAACCCAAACCATTGCACGGCCATTTTTACAGCAGAGGCAACCCAAACCATTGCACGGCCATTTTTACAGCAGAGGCAACCCAAACCATTGCACGGCCATTTTTACAGCAGAGGCAACCCAAACCATTGCACGGCCATTTTTACAGCAGAGGCAACCCAAACCATTGCACGGCCATTTTTACAGCAGAGGCAACCCAAACCATTGCACGGCCATTTTTACAGCAGAGGCAACCCAAACCATTGCACGGCCATTTTTACAGCAGAGGCAACCCAAACCATTGCACGGCCATTTTTTACAGCAGAGGCAACCCAAACCATTGCACGGCCATTTTTACAGCAGAGGCAACCCAAACCATTGCACGGCCATTTTTACAGCAGAGGCAACCCAAACCATTGCACGGCCATTTTTACAGCAGAGGCAACCCAAACCATTGCACGGCCATTTTTACAGCAGAGGCAACCCAAACCATTGCACGGCCATTTTTACAGCAGAGGCAACCCAAACCATTGCACGGCCATTTTTACAGCAGAGGCAACCCAAACCATTGCACGGCCATTTTTACAGCAGAGGCAACCCAAACCATTGCACGGCCATTTTTACAGCAGAGGCAACCCAAACCATTGCACGGCCATTTTTACAGCAGAGGCAACCCAAACCATTGCACGGCCATTTTTACAGCAGAGGCAACCCAAACCATTGCACGGCCATTTTTACAGCAGAGGCAACCCAAACCATTGCACGGCCATTTTTACAGCAGAGGCAACCCAAACCATTGCACGGCCATTTTTACAGCAGAGGCAACCCAAACCATTGCACGGCCATTTTTACAGCAGAGGCAACCCAAACCATTGCACGGCCATTTTTACAGCAGAGGCAACCCAAACCATTGCACGGCCATTTTTACAGCAGAGGCAACCCAAACCATTGCACGGCCATTTTTACAGCAGAGGCAACCCAAACCATTGCACGGCCATTTTTACAGCAGAGGCAACCCAAACCATTGCACGGCCATTTTTACAGCAGAGGCAACCCAAACCATTGCACGGCCATTTTTACAGCAGAGGCAACCCAAACCATTGCACGGCCATTTTTACAGCAGAGGCAACCCAAACCATTGCACGGCCATTTTTACAGCAGAGGCAACCCAAACCATTGCACGGCCATTTTTACAGCAGAGGCAACCCAAACCATTGCACGGCCATTTTTACAGCAGAGGCAACCCAAACCATTGCACGGCCATTTTTACAGCAGAGGCAACCCAAACCATTGCACGGCCATTTTTACAGCAGAGGCAACCCAAACCATTGCACGGCCATTTTTACAGCAGAGGCAACCCAAACCATTGCACGGCCATTTTTACAGCAGAGGCAACCCAAACCATTGCACGGCCATTTTTACAGCAGAGGCAACCCAAACCATTGCACGGCCATTTTTACAGCAGAGGCAACCCAAACCATTGCACGGCCATTTTTACAGCAGAGGCAACCCAAACCATTGCACGGCCATTTTTACAGCAGAGGCAACCCAAACCATTGCACGGCCATTTTTACAGCAGAGGCAACCCAAACCATTGCACGGCCATTTTTACAGCAGAGGCAACCCAAACCATTGCACGGCCATTTTTACAGCAGAGGCAACCCAAACCATTGCACGGCCATTTTTACAGCAGAGGCAACCCAAACCATTGCACGGCCATTTTTACAGCAGAGGCAACCCAAACCATTGCACGGCCATTTTTACAGCAGAGGCAACCCAAACCATTGCACGGCCATTTTTACAGCAGAGGCAACCCAAACCATTGCACGGCCATTTTTACAGCAGAGGCAACCCAAACCATTGCACGGCCATTTTTACAGCAGAGGCAACCCAAACCATTGCACGGCCATTTTTACAGCAGAGGCAACCCAAACCATTGCACGGCCATTTTTACAGCAGAGGCAACCCAAACCATTGCACGGCCATTTTTACAGCAGAGGCAACCCAAACCATTGCACGGCCATTTTTACAGCAGAGGCAACCCAAACCATTGCACGGCCATTTTTACAGCAGAGGCAACCCAAACCATTGCACGGCCATTTTTACAGCAGAGGCAACCCAAACCATTGCACGGCCATTTTTACAGCAGAGGCAACCCAAACCATTGCACGGCCATTTTTACAGCAGAGGCAACCCAAACCATTGCACGGCCATTTTTACAGCAGAGGCAACCCAAACCATTGCACGGCCATTTTTACAGCAGAGGCAACCCAAACCATTGCACGGCCATTTTTACAGCAGAGGCAACCCAAACCATTGCACGGCCATTTTTACAGCAGAGGCAACCCAAACCATTGCACGGCCATTTTTACAGCAGAGGCAACCCAAACCATTGCACGGCCATTTTTACAGCAGAGGCAACCCAAACCATTGCACGGCCATTTTTACAGCAGAGGCAACCCAAACCATTGCACGGCCATTTTTACAGCAGAGGCAACCCAAACCATTGCACGGCCATTTTTACAGCAGAGGCAACCCAAACCATTGCACGGCCATTTTTACAGCAGAGGCAACCCAAACCATTGCACGGCCATTTTTACAGCAGAGGCAACCCAAACCATTGCACGGCCATTTTTACAGCAGAGGCAACCCAAACCATTGCACGGCCATTTTTACAGCAGAGGCAACCCAAACCATTGCACGGCCATTTTTACAGCAGAGGCAACCCAAACCATTGCACGGCCATTTTTACAGCAGAGGCAACCCAAACCATTGCACGGCCATTTTTACAGCAGAGGCAACCCAAACCATTGCACGGCCATTTTTACAGCAGAGGCAACCCAAACCATTGCACGGCCATTTTTACAGCAGAGGCAACCCAAACCATTGCACGGCCATTTTTACAGCAGAGGCAACCCAAACCATTGCACGGCCATTTTTACAGCAGAGGCAACCCAAACCATTGCACGGCCATTTTTACAGCAGAGGCAACCCAAACCATTGCACGGCCATTTTTACAGCAGAGGCAACCCAAACCATTGCACGGCCATTTTTACAGCAGAGGCAACCCAAACCATTGCACGGCCATTTTTACAGCAGAGGCAACCCAAACCATTGCACGGCCATTTTTACAGCAGAGGCAACCCAAACCATTGCACGGCCATTTTTACAGCAGAGGCAACCCAAACCATTGCACGGCCATTTTTACAGCAGAGGCAACCCAAACCATTGCACGGCCATTTTTACAGCAGAGGCAACCCAAACCATTGCACGGCCATTTTTACAGCAGAGGCAACCCAAACCATTGCACGGCCATTTTTACAGCAGAGGCAACCCAAACCATTGCACGGCCATTTTTACAGCAGAGGCAACCCAAACCATTGCACGGCCATTTTTACAGCAGAGGCAACCCAAACCATTGCACGGCCATTTTTACAGCAGAGGCAACCCAAACCATTGCACGGCCATTTTTACAGCAGAGGCAACCCAAACCATTGCACGGCCATTTTTACAGCAGAGGCAACCCAAACCATTGCACGGCCATTTTTACAGCAGAGGCAACCCAAACCATTGCACGGCCATTTTTACAGCAGAGGCAACCCA